AATCACAGCTTAAGTGAATAGTAGGTCAGACCAATGTTCTGCAGAGTGAATACTCTGTACAGCTGTGGGAACTAAATGGTAGTGCCTCTTGTGACCTCAATTTCCAGAAGTCAGGGATATGTCCTGAACAGCCTTTATTTCCTCTTAATAACCATTATAAATCTATTATCCATGAATTTATTTATACACTTCTTAAATTAATTTATATTTCCAGTACAGGCTATCTCTTTAGGGTAACAAGTTCTGCCACATTATTATCTACTTTGCAAAGTGGTACATCCTTTAGTTTTCCTAAAATTAACTCCCTCAAGCTTCAAGGAGTGCTGCCTAACTCTTGCACATAGAATTTGATTAATAAATGTATGGTCAACCAACGCAAGTCAATTGTATCAGCCCAAAGCCTTTTCTTTTTTTAAAAACATACCAAAAATTCCTTGCCAACAACTGTCTATGCCACTCTGTCCCTTGATTCTTTTCTTTGGCCTATCTAAACTGCTTTCACTCTGTTCACTTTTATTATGAAACAGCAGCTAAAATAGCACAAATGATCCCAAAGGCACAGCAAGCACGGCTGTACACAAGAGTGAGATCACTTTTCTAGGAACCTTTAAAAAGAAATCTCTAGTACACATTTTGTATTCTCCTCTCCCACCGAACTTCAGATGTTTTCACCTTTCTTTCCAGGTCAGCCAATTAGAGATTTTATTTAAGTATTCATAAAATGCAGGCATTCACTAGTAGTAAAATGCTTCCTCTCATTTACAACCAGTGTTGAACTAAGGTCTTACTGTACACAAAATTAACACACAAGTGTATAATTGTAGTTTTATGCTCAAGTGCCCTAATTACACACTTTAAAACACTTTCTTCCTAAGGATTCAATCGAGGGTATTCGATACCACAGATCTATAAAGTCTACAGTGTATTTTTTGACAAAATAGAAGAATATCAGGAAAAACTCCGCAGCTTCTGAGAGAAGAGCGTGTGTTTAGTACAAGGGATGGTAAATCTTACCGTAAAATAGCTTAAAAAGATAACATATTTCCAGTGTATATAAACTTGGTATGGCAGGAGGGTTGCATGTGAGCAAAAGGATTCATACTACCTATTCTTGAAGGAAACAGAGCTGGTACTTTAAAATGTGGTCTTTCCTAAACCATCACAGCAGTGAAAAATTCACCTGTAAGCTTCTATGCCTTACTCATATAATAATAGAAAAAAAGAAAGAATTTTTAACAGTAAAAAGAGCCACGCTCACTTTTAATGTGGAAGCTTTGACACCTAGGGTACCAATATTTGCATTTTAAAATAAAATAAATATTTTCCATAACAAATATATACAGTCAGTTTTAAATGAGAGAATCCTAACTATGGAAATACATCAACATGACTTCATAAAACTCTATTACTGTGAAGGTCATAGGATACATAGAAACAAAGGGCTCACAAGGCAATCTATAGTAATAAATGGGTCAATTCTGCTCACAGAAGCAACACTTTCCTAGAAAAAGCTACTTGAAAATAAAAAGGCCTGAGCTGCCTTGCCTCACAGGGATTTGGTTGTTTCCATCCCAGAAAATGCTGTCCCAAGAAAGCATACACGTGGTATCATTTATTCAGCAATGAAAACATCTCACTGCAAAGCAATCTGGATTTTCCCTTTTTCTTGTTATACTATTGCCCAAACTGTAACTGGTAATTTTGAATCCGTGAATATAATCTTTGAGTTGTTTCCATTTCTTTTAATGCAAAAGGATTACAAAAGCAAAAGTCAAAACAGTCTAACAGTGCTTCACACACATGTTACAACAGCAGGGTTTTCTAATAAGACTTTAAAATAAGTGTCAGGCTACAGTATGTTCGTGTTTTTATAAACCACCCACTTGGTCCACAAGCACATGGTGAGGACACCATTTACTACAGCGGAAAACAGAAAACACTCGGGAAGCAGAACTGATGGGAATTACAGAGGAGCTTCTTGCTTATCTGCCCTTCTGGCCAGAGATTTCTATTTTTATAAAGCACAAAAAGAGGAGCCAAGAGCTTTACCACTTTCCTATATAAACCCAGCTGCCAAAATGAATGTGCCAAAGGGGAATTTCAGAAAATTTTAAAGAGATAACCTTTGCTGAGGCTGCAATGTCAACTTTGTAACCGCATGACTGGAACATGTGCAGTGAATGCTTGATTGAAAAGAGACTGTTCTCTTTGAGATAACTAGGGGTGGGGGCAGGGTACAGAAAATAGGATTTACCAGAAGAAGACTAGAATTTTAAAAGAGTCAACAAACAGACAAGCAACTGGTATCTTCCAGTTTGGAAGGGGAGCCCTGAAGGGGAACAGGAGGAGTGAGACCGTTCACTGCAGGCCACTTTCTACCCTGGGGACCGTATACTTGATGATATACACATATAAATTACTCATTCGTGTGTGGGTTTTAAATACAGCCTTTGAAATTGTTTCTTCTTTTTTCTCAAAGGGAAGAATTAGGGCTGAGGTGAGATTATGTGGTTGCATTGTTGTCATCAGTCAAAAGCCCACTCTCAGAGTGTGGGAGGGTAGGTGCTTCCAAAGCCTTTCTGTATCCTTTTTCTCTTCTGGCCCCCCTCAAAATGATTTTTATAACTAAACTAATGAAAATAGAAGAAAACTCCAAGCCCCTCAAAAATGAAAATTTTAAAAACTGCATTAATTTAAAGCATCATCCTTTAAAAAGATAGTCTTAAGTGTTCCATGAGGATACTTTTCAGGGAGAAAATTTACTCATTAATCTATCTACCCCTAAATTTAAATGATGTATATGGTGAAATGCACAGCAATGAAGAAAAGTTAACAGCAATGGTAATCATGCAAGGGTCCAACTTCACAGACTAGCCAAAACCCAACTTGGCTCTTAAATTTCTTGCTCTGAGATTTTGAGAATCATGTAGACTGCAGAATCCATGACCAGACAGTCCCGTGGGAAAAGCCAGCATTGGTACGTTAAGGCACCCACTGCTCTCCCAAGTGGAGGCTACACGCTGACACAGAGAGGAGGCTGGGGGTTCGTCCCTATGACGTGGGACAGGACAGGCTTCCAATGAGCATGAGTCTTTTATCCCCTCCCTGAGTTTCATAATGTACATATAACAAATGAGCAGTGGGTTTATAAATAAAGAAGTCTTCCTACATTAGAAGATGCTGCTACCACCAGCCTACCGTTTCACAAAGCAGTGATTCCTCCCCTGAATTCCATGTGCAAAGGTAGGATCAGTGGTTCAAAAACTGACTCCTTGCATTTTCTTCCCTGGATCATAGTTTGAGTTGGGGCAAGGGGAGTGATGAGGAGATGCTCAAAAATATATCCAGTACACAGTCCACATGTCGCTGGATCAATGAGCTATTGTTTTAAATGAAAAAATATGTATCCATTCCCTCCCCCCTTGGAAGGCTTGGCATAGTTACACATTGTGAACTACTTTATCATACACTTCTAGAACTGGAAAAGACTTTGAAAGGCTACTGTTTCAACTCTGTTCTTGCTACGGTCAAGGATTAGGAAACGTGCACAATTTCACCCAGTAGTCACAGATGGAAGTACTCACTCCACTCTCCCACAAGGCTCAGTCATTAAATGGAAGGGAAAGGTGGAAGAGGCAAACAGCCACTCAGACTGAGACAAGAGGGAGAAGGACACTTTGAAGGCCATGCTGTGTCCCAGGAGAGCAGGACAGGGGCAGACACGGGGAGCCCAGGGAACACAAGAGAGCCAGCAGGACTGGGAAAAGAAGCTGGAATAAGGCAGAAAGGCCGCAAATGAGAAATGCACACATACTTCTTTAAGTTTTAAAAAATTGTTGCCAGGCGCAGAGGCTCGCGCCTGTAATCTCAGCACTTTGGGAGGCTGAGGCAGGTGGATCACCAGGTCAAGAGATCAAGACCATCCTGGTCAAATTGGTGAAACCCTGTCCCTACTAAAAACACACAAATTAGCTAGTCATGGTGGCACGCACCTGTAGTCTCAGCTATTTGGGAGGCTGAGGCAAAAAAATTGCTTGAACTTGGGAGGTAGAGGTTGCGGTGAGCTGAGATTGCACCACTGCACTCCAGCCTGGGCAACAAGAGCAAAACTCCATCTCAAAACAAAAAAAAATTAAAATTGTTAGCCAGCCATGGTGGCAGGTGACTGTAATCCCAGCTACTCCAGAGGCTGAGGCAGGAGAATCACTTCAACCCAGGAGGTGGAGGTTGCAGTAAGCCGAGATCACACCACTGCACTCCAGCCTGGGCGACAAGAACAAAACAAAACAAAATTGCAAAATCTGTGTAGTTGAGATTAATTTAGAAAGTATGGGTAGGATGTCCCTTATCTGAACTGCTTGGGATCAGAAGTGTCTAGGACTTCAAGCTTTTTCAAACTTTGAGATATCCATAATTGCTTATTGAGCATCCCTAATTCACAAGTTTAAAATCTTGGGTGCTCCAATAGGCATCTCCTCTGAGCATCACATCAGTACTCAAAAAGTTTAGGATTTTGGCGCATTCCTAATGTCGAATTTCCAGATGAGGGATACTCAACCTGCAAAATATTAGGATACAAAATTTCCACCAACGCGGATGCTGTACCTTCAAAGCACAAGTGGGAAGAGGAGGCTTTGTTGTGAGTCATTTAGCACATAAACTTAACTTACATGATAAACTTGTGATACTGGGCAATAGTTTAAACAGGAAGTGCATTTTACAGTTGTGGCAATATGAAGAGATGATGCTTTAAAATATCAAAATCCTTGAAATATCAACATATTTCAAAGTAAATGTTTGTATAAAAAGAAGACAATTCAGTTATTTCCCTTGAGGAAAACAATCTGCAGCTTTTAAAATTTCATCAGGTGGAACGTGTACCAAACAGTCCTAAAAGATTGGTCAGAAAAAAATAAGAGGGTGTTGACATTTTTAAATCAGTAACAGAAAGACACCCAGGGGCAGGCAGTGGAAAGGGAGGAGGACTTACTGAATATAGAATTTTCAGCAAATTAAATGTTTCACTTCTTTCCATGGTCTCCTCGTTTCATACTTACAAAACATTAAAATCAGGCATCCTAAACTACACATTTTGAAAAAAATAAATAATCATAAAATCATAATTACCCTCCTCAAAACAATAGTCCAACATGGATACATTCTGATTGTCCCTTCTAAGCACCTCTGAGGTTAAGGCAATAGACTTCGGTGAAGCCATTTTACTGTTTTGGACATTAACTAGTATAAACACCTGTCCTAAGATAGAACCCTTCAAAATCCAGTGACATATAAGGATAATTGGGTCAAAATATTTTAGTTCTGAAATTAGATCATATTCTAATTCTACTTTATTTTAGCTATATTACCATTAGAAGGTAAAGCCAGCTTTCAAACAGTATCCTACAAAGATTTTCACTTCAATAAATACTTTAATTTTAAAAGATACACCATATATGTCATGGGGGAAACATGATTTGTCATATTTAGTTTCCTTTCAAAAATGTTTTTTACAAGAACAGTCAAAGTTTATCCCAGTAGCAACACTTCCTGAAATCAGGAAGGATTTCTCTGAGCTCAAGACAAGGTACAAAGAATTGGGAAAAATGACAATGTTTTCTGACCGGAGACACTACATTCAATAATCACTCATAATCATTTAAAACTTACAGCTATTTCTTACTGCCAGAAAAAAGAATTAGCAACACTAGTATCTGGGCATTCGGCGCCTCTTGAATCTCAGCACCTTTTTCCAGCACACTTCACTCCCCAAACCAGTGGCAGCCTAATAATCCTAGAAACACCACGGCCACCCCCTTAGCTGACTATGACTACCCCACATGTGGTGTCTGTACAGCATCCAGGACAAGCCACCTGCCGGGTTTGGGTGCTCCATCCTTACACACCTCCTAATCCTCCTGGATGGAACGCCCTTCAGGTGGCTGCCTTACCCTTACCTGCTAGAGCTTCACTGGGAAGGCACACTGCTTAGGAGGCAAAGGCCTGCATGGAATAGAGAAGAGCTGTTGCGCAACTGGCAAATCACTTAGCTGTGGTTTCAGTTTTTCATCAGGTTGTCCTGGAAATAGATCATATTTTAAATCTACTTTATCTGAACTACAAAAAAAATTTTTTTTTCTTAAATTATCATTAGAAGGAAAATGGAGAGGAGAATCAAAGGAGCTTAAAAAATACCGAAAATTAGAGTAATGGCTGTCAAATGTTTTGACTCCAACTCAGAGGAAGAAACATATTTTATATCAAAACCTTGAACACACAGGACACTCACTGCATGTGCTACATTTGTATTTCCTATTCTTTATATCAAATTCCTTCCATTAAAAACATTTCCAGTTGCAGCCTAATGTATTACTTTCTTGCTCCCATTAAAGAGTCATGATCAACAGTTTAGAAAACACTGCATTAGGGCATGATTTTTTTCCTAGAGAATCTCAAGGAAAACAGTTCCAAGTGATGCTGTATCAGAATAAATCAGGGTCCAGGGATTCTGGCTTTTGAAATACCTCTCCCCTGACCCACAGCTGTTGTGGATACAAAATGGCATTGCCAGAGAAAGAGAGAGAACTTACTGTTGTTCTGAGCAGGCTGACAAGCCAGAGCAGGTCTACAGGAAACACCACTCGCTCAGGAGGAAGGCAAACACCAGCAGAACAGGTATCAGCCTGTCCCCAGCACCTGCCAATCAGAGGAGGGGCAACGCTCAAAAGACATCAAGAGTCAAAGCAAGGAAAAGTGAAGAGATGGGGCTGGAGCCAGCCAGGTGACAGTCCCAAGGTGAGGATGGGAGAGTAAGGTCATGCTATGGAACATGGGACGAGTGCTGGGGCTGGTGTGTGTCAGGCTCACACTGGAGAGGGGAGCATGGAAGACATGGCACTCAGAGGCAGCAGGGCCAGAAGAGAAGGAAGTGAAGCTCAGAGAAGTAAAGAAGAGAAAGGAGAAGGAAGGGCTATGATTTCCACACAGATCCCCAAAGAAGAAAAGTAAAATGTCACGAAGACCAGGCAATCTATTTGTCCAGAGTGGAGGACCCCAACTGTAAGAGCTCTGAGAGCACCACATCCCTGGAGTAACTCGGGAGTCCCCCTGAGCAATGAGCTCTTTGCCAGGTTTATTTGACTACTGGGCAAATAACAGCTCTGGGAGAAATAATCAGAAGAAATTATAACTAGTACCCCAAATTTACAATAATGCTACCAAGAATAAAGATGGTTAACATAGAATTGAGAAACTGCAAGCTGATGAGGAAGACTGACGCAGGGAGAGAGCCATGGAGTAAGATGCTGTCAGCATAAGGAGCCTAAAGGTCCCTCACAAATACTCCCTGACCGCAACTCCCAGGGAGGCCAGAGGAAACCCAAGGCAGTCGTGTTAATTCAGGGTCTACCCTTAGAAAATGCAGAAATTAAGCCAGTGAACTCTCCCCTTTTTTGAAGTTCCCCTTGTAAGATTTTATTATAACCTTACTTCATTCTCTTTCCTGAGGTCTCAACATAAAAGTTCCTAACCACAAAAATACAGTATAAAACTAATCAGCCCTGTGTACTACAAAATGATTTACAAAATAACTAACAGACAGATGTCATTATAAAATGTTTTCATTGATATCACCTCCCCTCTCCCAAAACTAGCCCTCATGTCAATAGCAAGACTTTATACAAAGCACTTTTAAACTTTTTAAACTATCTTCACACAGATGATCTCATTTACCTCCATAACAATCCTACAAAAAAATGTAGAATCAGTTCCTTTCACAGAAAAATGTCTGAAGAGCATGTGGCCAATGGGTGATGAAAACCGTGCTATATATCTGGTCTCCTGATTTAAAGAGACCACAGCAATGAAAGAAAAAGGCAAGGCAAGGCACCCTTACAGTTGGTATCTGCAGCTATGCTTTGTTTTCCCAAATGGATTTCCATTTTTCCATATTTTCCATTCTACCACATGTGTTGATTGATACTTTATTGTGCAATGATTAGGTGTCCACAGAATCATCTCAGGCCCTGTAGATGGCACAAATATGAATAAGGCAGAATCTCTGCTCAAAAACAGCCTCTAGCAGAAGAGAGGGAGCACACCAGCAAAGAGGGAGATTCTGAGGGGTACCAAAGAAGCACAGCAGAAAGGCAAGCCAGCCAACTCTGCCCGAGGAGTTGGTGGAAATGGGTTCCAGAACATGGGAACTGTTGCTCCACTGGGACTGAGGCTGAGAGGGGGGACTCACTTTCAACCAGCAGAGAGGAGAAAAGGGAGTAAAATCTGTTGAAGAGCTGCAACCCAGGTGAGGAAGAAAGGAACACATTAAGGAAAAGAGGAATAATTCAGGACAGGATGAGCAGTGATGGGGCAGAATTTTGTTAATTCCCAGGACCATGCTATGCATACAGCAGATGCTTAAAAAAAAAAAAAAAAAAAAAACTGGCTATATGGATGCTTGACTCTGAAATAAATTAGTACATTTAATTTTAAAACAGAAGTATGTGTGATACCACCCAAGTGAATGAGTTCTAGTTCTCAAATACCAACTGTGCATATGTAAGCATTAGGGTTCCCCCACACAGCACTCGCCTTTAGAATGCCTGCTCACATTCTTACTCAAGAACACACCTTCGCCATAGTAACCCAAATAAGCCATAGGGAGGAAGTTAAACTTGCTGCCACCTAAAATGGAACACTGCAGCCCCAAACTGTGAGGCAATGTTTAAGGAATATCTACCATTTGGAATTACTGCTATGACTGCTTCCCCACAATGGAGACAGGAGCACTGGCGATCCACCAGTATGTATCACTAAAGACTCAAATTCCAACAACAGCTGTTGAAAGTAGCCCAGCATTGAGGCATGGGAACCCGTGCAGTCCTCAGGCTCTGAAAAAGAATGATGCAAAACTGAAGACAATATGCCATCTGTGCAGACATTGAGAGAAGCTAAAGGTATATTACATGTGACACTATATATACACAGATGTGTGCATACATGTATGCATATATATTTTTTTAAAACAGTGTTAAGCACAGAGCCTATTTTCCAAAGCTTTGAAAACAGAAACTAGTAGAAATTATGTAATTTCTCCAAATACAGTATGCCAGAATTTAAAATCTGATACATCTAAAATTTCAAATACCATATACTAGACCCCTATTTGGGTCCAGAAGATCAACTTCAGGTTCTCCTAATAACAAATGGCAACTGCCAGAGTAAGCCCTAATTAAGAGAAATCAGCTTTCTCAGGTTCCAAAAGTAGCTCCCAGGGAGGCTGTTCCAGGCCACACAGCCGCCACCCGGGAGAAGGGGGAGGCCTAACTTGGGCCAACTCACCTGGCAGAGCTCTCGAAACTCCTACAGGCCCAAGGCAACACACTGTCACTGTCACTACATTTGAAACACTTTTTTTTTGTTTTTTTTTTTTTTTTTTGAGACAGAGTTTCGCTCTGATTACCCAGGCTGGAGTGCAATGGCATTATCTCAGCTTACCACAACCTCCGCCTCCTGGGTTCAGGCAATTCTCCTGCCTCAGCCTCCCGAGTAGCTGGGACTACAGGCATGCGCCACCATGCCCAGCTATTTTTTGTATTTTTAGTAGAGACGGGGTTTCACCATGTTGACCAGGATGGTCTCGATCTCTTAACCTCGTGATCCACCCGCCTCAGCCTCCCAAAGTGCTGGGCTTACAGGCGTGAGCCAGACCGCGCCCGGCCTGAAACACCCTTCTAACATACTATCAAGCTCACAAGACCAGTACAGGCTTCTAAACCCTTCTCTTTAGCCTTTTTCTCTACACTGCAGCCACAAAAGTGCTTATAAATTATGCTGGTCTAATAAACACATAAGAAACATGGAAAAATGACTATGCAAACAGTTTTCAACTTAAAATGTTTGTTCACTATACAAAACTAACAAGTATTTTCTAAAATAATAAAAGCTTTCATAACCACCATCCACCAAAAGCCATCAACGTGTGTTTTTCTTATGCAAAATTATACAATAAATTTAAATAATTGTTTCTTACTCTATACAGAGCCTTAGGTTTGACACTTTAAACACTACATCATCTTATCTACTATCGTAGAAGTGCCTTGTAATAAGCTTTTGCCTCTAACACAATCATGGAACATTCTACCTATTTTTCTTTCTCTCCCCATCACTACTGGCATTCCATTTTCCAGCTCCTCCCTTCTCTCTCCCATCACATCCCTCTTTTCCTTTGACCCTCTCCACTAAATGACATGGTCATTTGCTCACTCCAAGATTCTCTCTCCCCCAGAAAATCTCCTTTTCTTCACAGGCTTCTCAGACATTGGCCTGCACTCTCTTGCCACCTGGCCTCCACCTCACACCTAATGTACACTGTCCGTGGGTATCTGGGCTCCCAGAAGCCCGCAGCCCCTACTGGAACAGACTTCGGAAATCTTCTGATGCTGGAAGGGTCATTCTCCTCTAATCACTGTTTGCTATCACTGTTTGCTATCTGCTGCTGCTGAGAAGGTTTGAGATTTTGTTTGTTGCAGTTTTTGCTTCGCTTTTCTCCCACCATCATGAAAGAGGTGACTCAGCTTTCCTGCTATAAGTGAAAGATCACTAGTTTAAAACACAAGAAGGCTAAGCTTACACACACGTGTATGCACACTGCACGTATATACACGTCATATGTTTCTATCTTAACTCCCAGCTGGAGGTGACTTTACAAAAACACTGATATAAACCCTCTGGTTCCTATAACAGAGAAACTACCCGATACTGATAAAACTCTTTTTTTTTTTTTTTTTGGATTAAGTCTCCACTTTTTGCCCCGGCTGGAGTGCAGTGGCACAATCTTGGCTGTCCGCAATCTCCGCCTCCCGGGTTCAAGCAATTCTTTTGCCTCAGCCTCCCGAGTAGCTGGGACTACAGGCGCACACCAACACCAACACACGTGGACAATTTTTGTATTTTTAGTAGAGGCTGGGTTTCACCATATTGGCCAGGCTGGTCTCGAACTCCTGACCTCATGATCCGCCCACCTCGGCCTCCCAAACTGCTGAGATTACAATGTCTGAGCCACCACACCTGGCCCCTAAAATAAAATTCTTAAGGGTTTGCAGAAGTGTTAGTGTAATATGAAAAAGAATCCGCTAGAGCACCTCTTATAGTACTTGTTTTGAGGCAATTCATTCCCAAAACAGATTTTCCATTGTTATAATCTTTTAAAGTACTCCTCTATCTGGCTTCTACAGCAATTTGCAAGTGAGAAACAAACATGCAACTCACAGAGGGAAAGAAAGGGCAAAGGCTTAATTTACTGTACTCTCATTTGCCAGAGTGTAGAGTTGTGGGGCACAGCCACAAAAGTGCTTGTAAATTCCACTGGTCTAATGAACAGATACAGTTTTCCTAATTTTTATTGCTGTACTCCACAGCTGAGTGACTGTCAGGCCAATGCCAAAGCACAGGTTCCATTTGAATGACATATGGCTTCAGTCAACCAGAGAGATGTTACAACATTAAACAACACAAGTAGACAGAACAAGAATACAAAATGCCAAATTAGCCCTCGCAGAACCAGATATCCTAGTATGCATCTCAGTCCTTTGGAAGAGGCTCCGAGTGTGTGGGTATGATTCGAACACGCCTCCCTGGCCCCTCACAGCAATACACAGGGCACAATAGGGACAGGCTGGTGCGGAGGAGAGCCTCCATGGGTGCTGGAGTCAGAAGCTGCAGTTCTGTCCCTAACAGCTAACTGTCCTATCTTTTTGACACTGCATTACCTCTTTGCCCAGCAGCTTCCTTACCTCCTCCTTACAAAATGGCACTACAATATTTCCTCCACCTCACTGAATGAAATGCTGATGCAAAAACACTTCCTAAACGGTCAATCACTATGCAAACAATCATGTGACAATGTGACTTCTCTTCCCAACGAATACTTCCTTAAGCAAGCGCAGTGTAATTGCAAGCATTAAAGCAGCAATGTAGTAATGACCTGTCCATCCATTTGGCTGCCCAAGCGATACACCCTCTTCTGGGATCTGGTTAACTCCTCATCTTTTATGAGCCTGATAGGAGGCAGACTCCACTTCCCAACAGAGAAGCTGGAAAGGCCAAACACTTGTTTTCCCAAACTAGAAACCAGATTAACCAGCTACAGACAACTAGAGTACTGACATAGCCAATCAGAAGCACATGGGGTCTTTGGCTTATTAGCTAATAATACAGAGAAACAAGCAGAGGAGGAATTTCTCCTTGCTGTACACACAGCAATACCCAATTTCAGGTGTGTGCACATGTGTGCTACCAGCATGCCAGTGGGGTGACATGGAGGTACAAGTTGTGCCCAGCATGCTCAGGTCGTCTCTGTACTTGTGACCTGATTTTGCAGCATCCTCATGGTGTGATCTCCCTTGTTCCTGCCTTTCTGGCAATTCTGTGAGCTTCCCAACGGTCTGTCAATAATTCTTTTTCGGCTTGAATTGGCTAGACTCAGTCTTCATTGCTTACGTCTAAGAATCCTTGCCGACACAAGCAGTTCTTAAAATGGCAGACAGATGAGTGAAGAAACTAAAGGAAAGCCTAAAATGTGTGGCACCACAGAGCAAAAACAAAAGACAGAACGTGACCCCCAGCTGGTAGAGGCATGAGGAGGGGCAACTGCCTGATTAAGTATGTAGGGTGAGAGAAGTCTTTCAAAAGACCTTGGGTAACTAATCAAAAGTCAAGGACAAATATGGACTGTGCACGGTGGCTCACGCCTGTAATCCTCACACTTTGGGAGGCCAACGTAGGTGGATTACTTGTGGTCAGGAGTTTGAGACCAACCTGGCCAACATGGCAAAACTCTGTCTCTACTAAAAATACAAAAATAATTAGCTGGGTGTGGTGGTATGCACCTGTAGTCCCAGTTACTCAGGAGGCTGAGGCACAAGAATTGCTTGAATCCGGGCAGCAGAGGTTGCAGTGGGCTGAAATCATGCCACTGCACTTCAGGCTGGGCGACAGGGTGAGACTCTGTCTCCATTTTTTAAAAAAAGAATAAATAGGGTTATGCAAGAAGGCCTAGTGGTGGCATGGACCCAACTTTCAGAGGCTGGCAGCTCTAATGTGTTCTTTCTTTTAGCATTCAGTGAGACCTTATGTGCCAGACTCGGAAAATACTCAGGAGGGTCACAAGTTCAGCAGGGGACACATTCAATAGCAACAAGTAATTTTAATATAGGGAGATACATGTTAATTGAAGCAGATGTTGAATAAATGTAGGTGGAGCCAGCAGGTAAGGAAGAAGCACAGAGAGCCATCTGAAGGAAACAGGAGTGGGAAGGAGTGTGGGCCCACAAGGAACACAGCACAGTGAGGGGTGAAACACAGCACCATGCAATCTCCAACTGCAAGCATGGCAGCAGAGTGGTGCTTAGAGCCAGGCTGGAGAGCTGACAGCAGTAACGGTGAACAGGAAGACAGGAGTCCAGAAGGGCCAACCCATCAGATTCACAAGTTTGAATTTTATGTCACAACAAATATTCACTGAAGAACTTTAAGCGGGAGAGTAACAGATCAGATTTCCATTTTATTTTAATAAGATTACTCTGAAAGCTCTATGTGAAAGAATAAATAATAAGTGTTTGTAATCATTTGGGATTCATAGAAGCTTTGAGGGTATACTGGCCAGAAAAATGCATCTGCACACATATATAGAAATCTGAATAATTAATTCCAAAGGATTGGCAGCCTCCTGCAGTCCATCTGTGAACCCTCGGGTCTGTCTGTGGACCTCACAGTGAGAATGGTCTGGAAGTAGATGGGCAATAACTGGCGGATATACTGTTTGAGGGGCTAAAGCAACTGCCCATGCCAGTGACAGCAACGGTCTCAACTCGGGTAAAGGCTATGAAATCGGGGAGCCCAAAAAATGTCTGACACAATCTTCAGGAATTGGTGCTCAAGTGGAGGTGGTTAGTGAGGGAAAAACGACAAGGATAACTCCCAGGTGGGCAGCTTAAGAGACTGGGCAGTGCCTTGTTTTGATGGGGGCAAACGATAGACTGCGGAAAAAAAAAACAGCATGAAAATACTCGGAACTGGGTTGCCGGCGATGCCCCCAGGTGGACACGCCCCCCAGGTGGAACAGCCCAGCCAGCATCAGCAATGAGTCTCAGGCTGAGCGGCCATGGTCCAGGGTAAAGCCACTGGAACCCAGATGATACAGCTGAGCCTACACAGACATCTAGGCCCAAGTCCACAAGGCAAAGGCTGGGCTCAGCCTCCAGCGCACAGGGCCAGACGCGTGAGGCGGAGCAGACAGGGCCACAGGTCACGGTTCACAATACCATCTTACAAATATTAATACAAACTTATTACTCTGTGCATGTGATTTACTCACATGGTCACATCAGTGCAATCTACTTCAAAATATAAAACTTTGGCAAATTTCTTTAAGTAAGTCTGTTCAGTGCCTTGTAGGTACAATGTGAAAGTCAACAGTATCATCCAGAGACCCAACTTCAACAAGGACAGTGTGTGCAGATAAATTTTAAAGATGCTTTAAAAATACTCATATAATTTGGAATATTCAACAGTACACTTCAGTAGCACTAAAATCTGGAATGGAATTTGCAATTTCAGGAAAGCAGTTCTTTAACAGAAGTATTTAGCATGTTATATAAACATGTTATTCAGAGAAATGCACAGCACAGGGGATTTTCATCCCATTTACTACATTTGTTAGCCAAAGTGTAGCCCTCTCGTAATCGCCAACAGAGCTGCGGTAAAACCTCTATAATATTAAGCAACACCACAACACGGCTGTAAGCCATCCTTTTATTAAGACAAAGAAAACATACTCAAATAAGCACAGCTTTCTTTGTCACCTTTTTCCTGAGGAACTCATTTTAAAAAACAGCTCACTGAAAAGGCATGAACTGTTTAAATCTGAACAGAGGCTGACATCTTTTTTCGTGAGGAGAAGCTGGCAGGGAGAAAGACTGTAATAATTTTGAGGTTCTATCATTCTCATGCTAAAATGTAGAGTGTGAAATAAAAATATCAAAAATCGCTAATTCAGAATCGAATACAGCTGGTCAATGAAAACTTTCTCACCTCACCTGGCTTTTAATCTTGAGCGTTACAAATGTGATTAATTTGGAATAAAGAGCAAAGTGTTCCATACTTTAGGAAACAAAATATAGATGTCACTAACTGGACTGGAAAATGGACACAGATATTAAGAAAGCTTACGGTACTCAAATGAGTGATGTGTAAAGCTCTGAAAGTTGATCATCCAATACACAATCACAACCATTTCCTATGAAGCTAAAGAATGACTTTCCTTCCACACACTGAGTTTCTGCTACACAACACATGGCAGTGTGATGGTGCCCGTTTCAGGAAGGGATGAGGGAACGATGAATAAGCGAATGGCCATCAGCCTCAAATAATTATTTAGACACTACTCTTAATCTATATACTCAAGCCATTTAGAGATGGTCTTTCAAAGAATACTATAAATTGTACCAAGGAAAAGTAGATCTTATGTGTGAATTAAAGTCAAATATTTACCTGATCGGTTACTATGGGTGGGCTATTCCATTTTATGCCACAGCGATAAAATCCAGATGTGGCTCCTGCTCTTAAGGGCCTTAAAGGAGCAAAGGACCCATATTCCAATTACCATAAGTCAAGATTCAATATGCCACAACCCTAGAGAGATACCCTTAAGGCACTATGCACGTTCCGGAAACAGAGAAAAGCTCCGAGGGGGAGAAGGAAACTCAGCTTTGAGGAGTGGCCAGAGTTGCACCAGAGAGAGATGCAGGTAAAGAGGTCAGGACTTCCAAGTCACAAATAATGGCAC